CCAATACTAAATCACGAGCCCGGGCCTCCCGCAATACTAAATCACGAGCCCGGGCCTCCCCCCAATACTAATTTACGAGCCCGGGCCTCCTCCCAATACTAAATCACGAGCCCTCCTCCCCCCAACACTAGGGCACAGTTTTTGCTCCAAAAAGTGACATCGCAAGCCCTGGTCCCTAAGATTTTGAGCTCATTTCTTGCCCCAAAGAGTAACATCGCAAGCCCTGGTCCCTAAGATTTTGGGCTCATTTCTTGCCCCAAAGAGTAAAATCGCAAGCCCTGGTCCCTATTATTTGGGGCCCAGTTTTTGCTCCAAAGAGTCAAATCGCAAGCCCTGGTCCCTAAGATTTTGGACTCAGTTTTTTGCTCCAAAGCAAGCCCTGGTCCGTAAGATTTTGGGCTCATTTCTTGCTCCGAAGAGTCAAATCGCAAGCCCTGGTCCCGAAGATTTCGGGTTCAATTTTTGCTCCACAGAGTCAAACCGCAAGCCCTGGTCCCTAAGATTTGGGGCACAGATTTTGCTCCAAAAGGGTCAAATCGCAAGCCCTGCTCCCTAAGATTTTGGGCCCATTTCTTGCCCAAAAGAGTGACATCGCAAGCCCTGGTCCCTAAGATCTTGGGCCCAGTTGCTCCAAAGAGTCAAATCGCAAGCCCTGCTCCCTAAGATTTTGGGCACAGTTTTTGCTCCAAAGAGTCAAATCGCAAGCCCTGGTCCCTAAGATTTTGGGTTCAATCTTTGCTCCAAAGAGTAACATCGCAAGCCCTGGTCCCTAAGATTTGGGGCCCAGTTTTTGCTCCGAAGAGTCAAATCGCAAGCCCTGGTCCCTAAGATTTGGGGCCCAGTTTTTGCTCCGAAGAGTCAAATCGCAAGCCCTGGTCCCTAAGATTTTGGGTTCATTTTTTGCTCCAAAGAGTGACATCGCAAGCTCTGGTCCCTAAGATTGGGGGCCCAGTTTTTGCTCCAAAGAGTGACATCGCAAGTCCTGGTCCCTAAGATTTTGGGTTCAATTTTTGCTACAAAGAGTGACATCGCAAGCCCTGGTCCCTAAGATTTGGGGCCCAGTTTTTGCTCCAAAGAGTAACATCGCAAGCCCTGGTCCCTAAGATTTTGGGCCCAGTTTTTGCTCCAAAGAGTCAAATCGCAAGCCCTGGTCCCTAAGATTTGGGGCACAGTTTTTGCTCCAAAGAGTGACATCGCAAGTCCTGGTCCCTAAGATTTTGGGTTCAATTTTTGCTCCAAAGAGTGACATCGCAAGCCCTGGTCCTTAAGATTTTGGGTCCGTTTTTTGCTCCAAAGAGTGACATCGCAAGCCCTGGTCCCTAAGATTTGGGGCCCAGTTTTTGCTCCAAAGAGTCAAATCGCAAGCCCTGGTCCCTAAGATTTTGGGTTCATTTTTTGCTCCAAAGAGTGACATCGCAAGCCCTGGTCCCTAAGATTTTGGGCCCAGTATTTGCTCCAAAGAGTCAAATCGCAAGCCCCGGTCTTTAAGATTTTGGGTTCAATTTTTGCTCCAAAGAGTCAAATCGCAGGCCCTGGTCCCTAAGATGTTGCATTCATTGTTGCTCCAAAGAGTGACATCGCAAGCCCTGGTCCCTAAGATCTTGGGCCCAGTTTTTGCTCCGAAGAGTCAAATCGCAAGCCCTGGTCCCTAAGATTTTGGGTTCATTTTTTGCTCCAAAGAGTGACATCGCAAGCCCTGGTCCCTAAGATTGGGGCACAGTTTTTGCTCCAAAGAGTCAAATCGCAAGCCCTGGTCCCTAAGATTTTGGGTTCATTTTTTGCTCCAAAGAGTGACATCGCAAGCCCTTGTC